CTACTCTGTTAGAATTCTCCAGAGAAACAAAACTAATACATTAGAGAGAGAATAAGAGTGAGAGTAAGATTTATTTCAAGGAACTGGCTAATACAGTTGTAGGGACTGGTTAAGTCTGAAATCTGTAGAGAAGGCCAGCAGGCTGAAAATGCAGGCGAGAGTTGATGTTACATTCTAAGATCCACAGGCTGGAAACTCAAGTAGGGTTTATATCCTACAGACTTGATGCAGAATTCCTTCTTTAAGAACTGTCCTTGCTCCCAGGGCCTCAGCTGATTGGGTGAGGTAAGATCCACAGGCTGGAAACTCAGGTAAGATTTATATCTTACAGACTTGATGCAGAATTCCTTCTTTAGGAACTCTGTCCTTGCTCTTAGGGCCTCAGCTGATTGGGTGAGGTAAGATCCACAGGCTGGAAACTCAGGTAAGGTTTATATCTTACAGACTTGATGCAGAATTCCTTCTTTAGGAACTCTGTCCTTGCTCTTAGGGCCTCAACTGATTGAGTGAGGCCCATCCAGATTATGGAGGACAATGTGCTTTACTCCAAGTCAGCTGATATGTTCATTACATCTAAAAAATACATTCACGGCAACATCCAGATTGATGTTTGACAAAACAACTAGGCACCCCAGCCTAGCCAAGTTGAAATGAATTGAAACACTATTGCAGTACCATAGCAAATATCAACCAAGTATAAATGGATTATTTCTAAACCATCTACTTTGTATAACAAATATTTGTAACACTCACTTTACTATCCTTAAATGCAATTAACATTTAACTTACTGCACATGAAATTTTTAAAAATCAGAATATCCTATAGTAATATAAAGGATACTTTTTAAAAAGAATTTATAATAAAATTATTTCCATACATAAATATTGGGCATAGTTATACTAGCACTCAGATGCTTGCACTTTTGTACATTCACCATGAATACAAGGGCTACAAATGGAGACATACTACTGTGTTTTGTCAGAGAGCCAAATGCCGGGAACAGGCTCTGCCATCAGTGAAATGCTTTTTTTAAATGGTGAACAAAAGTTGTAAATAAAACAAATACTGTACAATCTCCCCTTCATTTATACAGTAGTTGCATACCTAGAGAATTCAGAGTATACCAAAAACTGTACCAAAAATACTTTGTGTGAGGTTATATGCTCAGCTAATTATAAATTGTTTTTTCACTTAAATATTTATGGGGACATATGATAGCTGTGTAGGACTTGGGACAGTTTCTTGTGCAAGACTATCCCAGGCACTGTAAGAAGTATAGTATCCTTGGCCTCCACCTACCAAATGCCAGAGATGCTTTCCAATCATTGCGACAGTCAAAACACTTTCACCTTTGTCGTGTGTGTGTGTGTGTTTGCGGGGGGTGGGGGGGTGGGGGGGGGGTGGGCGGGCGGGTGCCACTTCTGCTGAGAACCTCTGTAGGAAGCTATCAAAAGTATTTTTCTTTCAACTTTTTGAGAAACTGGAATAAAAAAACATAATGTTACATGCTCTCATATTTCTAATTCCCAGAATTAATACCACTAACATTTTGTCTTCAAATCTTATTTGTAAAAGAAAAAATTAAGAGACCTGTGATGTGATATAATATATATTTAGTCTTAGTCCCAGGTTCTTGGCACAGAGCCTCTAAGACCTTTGGGAATCTGCAGAGTGATGTGTCTTTATTTGCTAATGAGATTACTCGTGGTGAGCCCCTGGATCATTTCAGGATGGAAGCTGGTTGCCAGAGGAAACAGACAAGACAGATTAGAAGGCTGGAACTTTCAGCCCTACTCTTTTGATCTCCTGGGAGGGGAGAGCTGCTAATTAGGTGACTAATGATTCAATCATCCTTATATAATGGAACCTCCATTAAAACTCTAACAGTGGGGTTCAGAGAGCTCCTGGATTGAACACACTGAGGTGCTGATAGGGTGCTGTATCCTAGGCATCTCTTCCATTTGGCTGCTCCTGAGTGCTATCTTCTATAATAAACTGGTAATAATAGTTTCTCTGAATCCAGTTATATAAGTCATCATAGCAAACTGTCAAGCCTGAGCAGGAGTCATGGGAATGGATCTATAGCTGTCAGGCAAAAGTGGGTAATCTGGAGACCCACTACTTATGAATGATATCTCAAGTTGGGGGTAGTTTTCTGGTATTGAGGCCCTTAACCTGTGGTGTCTGTGTTAACTCCAGGTAACTTAGTGGCAGAATTGAACTAAGGACATAGTGTCTGGTGAGTTGGAACATTGATTGGTGTGGGAAAAACGTTATCTGGTGTTCAAAGTTTTGTGAATAGAGGAAACAGTTCCCATATAAGGCCTCCTTCAGCCTCTACCGTTCCACAGGACCTCATCCCCAATATAATGACTACTATTGTACTCGCAATCCATTTTTTATACTTTTACAACCACATTTGTATCCATAACAGAGACTATGGGTTTCCCCATGGGTTTGTGGTAATTCTTTCGTATTCAATTTCTCATATATATATATATATACACACACATATATGAGTTTATTTTTCTATGCCATTGGTCTATTTGTCTGCTCCTATACTAATACCACACTTAATTACTATTAGCTTTCTATAGTGTCTTGGTATCTGGTAGCCCCAACCCATCTTCTTTCTTTTCAAAATTGTCTTAGCTATCTGTATTTTTAAAGATTTTTTTTTTTTTTTTCAGAGAAAAAGTGGTGTCTTCTATATATATTTGGCCCAGCATGGGGGGGTGAAGGGTCAGAGAAACCTTTTTGTAAAAAGGATACAGTAAGATGGAGAGGAGGTTCCATTTAAAGAGAAAGCATGAACAAGCATGGAGACAACAACATACAAACACACAGGGGGGTTGATGTTGCTAGAACACAAAGGGTGAGGTAGGAACGTAAAGGTGGGTCAAATCTGGACTTGAGGATGCACCATACTAAGGAGTTTGGACTTGACCATATAGGTGAGGGATTCTTTAACTCACTTGGCCACGCTGGGTCTCAGTTGTGGCATGCAAGATCTTCAATCTCCGTTGCAGTATGTGGGATCTTTAGTTGCAGCATAAGGGATCTAGTTCCCTGACCAGGGATTGAACCTGGGCCCCCTGCATTGGGAGCATGGAGTCTTAGCCACTGGACCACCAGAGAAGTCCCTAGGTCAGTGATTCTTAACCAGATGTCTATGGTTGATCTTCATAGGGGATCTGAAGCAGGAGAATGCCATGATCTCCCTTTGTTGCCAATATAGATCTAATTATCAGATAACAATGCAGCAGATCTGATGAGGTCAAGATTGGAACTGTGAACTAAAAGTCTTCTGCAAAAGTGTAGGCAAGAAATGACAAGGGTAGAACTGACCAAACGGATGTTTAAATGGTAAAAATTAGTAAAATAATTACTTGGTTGGCAGTAGGACACAGGGGATAATGTAATAAGACCCCTATATTCCTGACGTAGATGACAGTGAAAATAAGGGGGAAAAAACACGAGTAGGTCCTGGAGATACGAAGGAATGCTTAGTTGTGGACATGTCATGTAAGAGGACTATAGATTTGAGTGGATATGGCAAGCAACTGGTTGTATCTGAAGCTCAAAAGGTCAACCTGGAAAATGCAGGTGTGGAGGTCAGCAGCAGGTGTGCTGACACTTACTGTCATGTACCAGAGTATTAATATGAATTCTCTCATTCAATCAAACCAGTCTTTTAAATTAGGAACTACCACTTAAGCAAGCTTATCTACTGAGGAGGAGGAAGAGGGTGAATTAGGTAACTAATGGGACAAGGTCTGGGGCTGAGGGTAAGGCTGGAGGTGGGGGCGCTATTAAGAGGACTGGCTGGGCACAGGCTGAACAGGGAAGCCAATCTGGCCAAAAAGGAACAGATGGGAAGAAAAGAGGAGGAATCCAAAGAGTTGAAGTCTTCAAGTTTTAAAACAGTGAAAATGAGAATATAAGAAAGCTCCACAGAAAGGACTGTTTGGAAATGGCACTGGGGAGCTGAGAGAACTGTGATCCTACTGCACAGGCAAGTGAGAAGGCGGTGGAGTCCTGCATTAGCATGTCAAGAGAGGATGAGAGGAAGGGGGCTAAAGATATAGGAAAGCTGAGCTTTTACATCCTGGAACAGGGCTTTAAGGTGAAAGGTTTAGGAATAGGGAGACAAAGGTCAGAGCAGTGTGTACATGAGAGCAAAACAGAGGACAGGTGTCCACAGAAGTTATTTGGGCAATTACCAAGAATGACGTGAACAAGCCAGCCTCAAAGCTCAAAATGAAATGGTCTCTCTTCATAGCTGGGTTTTACCTCAAATGCTGTTCTTTCATATCCTCTTTGCAACAAGAGAAATCAACCCTGATGCTTATACCTACTGTCCCTAAGGAGATAGACTGCATTACTACAGGCTGCCCAAAGCCCTTCACATTTTAAGAACTATCCCTCTTCTACTTCATGCAATTTTGATACAGCTACTAAACAAGAGCCTCTGCCTCCTTTGACACGTGTGGCCATGCTGACCAGAGAACCCCATCACTTGGACATAATAAGTGGTCCAGAAATGGCCCCTGACCAAAAAAGAGCTTTGTCTTTACAGTCTTCTCAGGGGATTTATACAGGTGCTGGGGCAGTCTTTTCACTGAGGTTATGAGAGGAGATTACTACTCTAAGAACTACTTAATAGGCAGAGCCCAAGATATGGAACTCTAGTCTGTGACTAGAAAACGGGTAGTCAAGGCCCCACCTCTGTGGTCTACACCCTATTCAAGTAAACAAAAGCACCAAGACACAGATATGGCAAAGTATTTTTTTTATGTCTATAGGTGTGCCTCACCCTCCCATTCCTGTTTTGATTCGATAGCCTCTCCAAACTGGCTGTACCAGAGAAAACATGGGCATTTTCCAGAGTTTGAAAGCCAGTTAAGGCCCTGGTCCTCTTGACTCAGAAATGATTGCAGATGCAGTCTTTCCACAGCATGCCTCAGGCCTCTCTGCTCAAGGAAAAAAGCCCCCAGTTCTATAGGGCTCCTGAGGTCTTCTGTTCTTCTGCAGCCTGGCGCTGGGAGCTGCGCCGCTGGAAATAGTGGTAGGCTCGGACACTGCAGAGGTAGCCCCCGTACACAGTGAGGAGCATCATGGAGGTGGAGAAGGTCTTGTAGCCAATGTCAGCTAGTTGCTTGGCAGTTGGCATGTTGTCCCCTATAAAGACAGACTGGATTTAGACCCAAGGATAAGGTCTCATCTGCCCAGCCCCCTCCCCTGCTTATCTGTCTGCACTCTATTCTGAATAGCTCCTACTCACATGCAGAGTTTGGTAGCTCAGCTGGTAAAAGAATCCACCTGAAATGCAGGAGACCCCAGTTCAATTCCTGGGTTGGGAAGATCCCCTGGAGAAGGGATAGGCTACTCACTCCAGTTTTCTTGGGCTTCCCTGGTGGCTCAGCTGGTAAAGAATCTGCCTGCAATGCGGGATACCTGGGTTCGAGACCTGGGTTCAATCCCTGGGTTGGGAAGATCCCGTGGAGGAGGGCATGACAATCCACTCCAGTATCCTTACCTGCAGAATCCCTATGGACAGAGGAGCCTGACAGGTTACAGTCCATGGGGTCACAAAGAGTCGGATACGACTGAGCGACTAAGCACAGCACATACTCAGTATGTTGTCGGGAACTCTTAAGATTCAAAAGGGCAAATAAAGTCTGCATAGAAGGTACAGAAACACAGCTCAAACCAGGTGCATGTGAATGACACCACAGCTAACACCTGACCCTCCATGTTTATGGAATGAAGTGACTGGTATAGACCACCTAGAAATGTTCTTAATTGGTGCATTACTTTAGGCACACATCAGTTTTTCTGGCCAGTAAGGAATTAATGGAAATAGCCAGAGATTAAATGTTAGCAGTATATTATTCTCTCAAGGAGGATCAAATAGGAGCCTTTTGGGCAATATGCAATTTGTTTTCCCATAAAATCATCTTATTTATGGCTCAGGTTCTCAGGTTGGTCTTCAAGCATCTGTTTAAACCACAGTATACTTGAAACAGTGCCAATAGTATGTTTATATTGTTTCAATTAGACATAACCTTCTACAGCATTAATTCTAAGTTTCAAACATAAAACCAAGGACCTATCCCAAGGGCTAAAAATAAACTTACTGAGGCCCCAGCAAATTGTTAACTCACATTTGCTTGAGATAAATTACTTCTAATTTAAGTGTTCCCTGGATATTCTGAGCTAGGGAACAAGAGAAAGTTTAAAATGAGAATCTCTCATCTTGAACAAAATGTTCCTCAATCTGGGACTCTGCTGAGAGAATTAAAAATCTGACTGCAGTTAGTGAGAATAGGTTTCTTAAAAGTAAAGAATTTGAAAGGAGAGAAGTTCAGAATTAGCTGGTTGAGGGGATCTCGAGTAGGGGAAGATGTCTAATTACTTTTCAAAGTCAGTCCCATGAGTTGAACACTGCCTTTGAGGCCAGTCCTTGAGAGTGGATCCCAATACTGAGCTGAGGCACAGCTTCCTTGAATCATAATTCCAAGTGGCAATTGAAGGTAACATTAAATAAGATCAGAGGAAGAAAACCAAATGGCACAGGGGCAAGATAAGAAAGGGCTGTTTTCAGGTTATTTGAAGTTTGAAAGGCCTCTAAGCTGTGACAGAAACACACACACACAGCAGGACACTAAGGTAATAAGCTCCCAGCAAAGAGACTTGGCAGCCTTCAAACTCCGCTTGACTTATTCTTTCTCATCCTATTCCCCATTACCCTGGCCAGACGCTAACCACTTATAGGACCACCTCTTCTCAGAGCTGGAGGAAGAAGGCTGGAAACCGGATGGTAGATCTTGCCTAGAAGAGTGAAAGAAGATCTATTGATGAAAATTTTCTAGAATCTCTTCTCCTGTCTGATCTAACCTGAGATTTCTATTTTCAAATTAAAAACTTTTCAGACCCTGTGCTAAAGCAGGGCAGTAGAAAAGGAGAACACAATGCAGAGATTATTCTGGAAGTAGAACAAGGCTTATTAACTGGATGGGCTAGGGCAAAATTGATGTATCTGCAAGTTAACAACTGAAGAAACTTTATGGAGTGGGACACTGTTAATAGATAAGAGAAGAAACAGGTGTGTCTATATGTGTATATGGGTATGGTGCTGGTGGCAGGAAGCGTCAGCCAAGATCATGAATTGGACATGTTCAAGTTAAGATGCTTAATGCAAAATTCACGTGATGATGTCTGTCAGGCACATGGATATGCAAATATGGAACAAATCCTGGGAAAGAGGCTAGGCTACAGATACATATGGAAATATCAAGTGACACCAAATTAAGAGGATAAAACCAAAGAGAGTGAAGTCTAGGGAACACCAGTTTGAAGAAAGAAAACAATTAGGGAAGGAAAACAGGAAATTCCAGAAACATGTGGAATGCTCTTTCATTTGACCACGACGATGGTTGAAAATCACTGCTCTATCAAGTCACTGCCACTAACAGCAGTATGCTTTATCTTTCGGGTATACTGGGCCAGAATGAAAAAGGCCTGTGAACCCCAACATGTCTATGCATTTTTTAGGATAGAGAGAAACAGATGATTAGAAGGATCATAACCCCCTTTCACCCCAAAGATAAGAACCGATATTGTGATTTGCTGGTTAAAGGAATGGTAATGACAGAGTAGCAGCTTGTGAAGGTAACACAAGGTCAAGTAAATTCTAGTTTTGTTTTGCTTACTGATAAGGAGATTTAAATGTTTTCAGAGAAGTTCAATTCAGTCGGGTCCTAAGCTTTGCAACCCCACAGACTGCAGTACGCCAGCCTTCCCTGTCCATCACCAACTCCCAGAGAAGAAAAGAAGAAACTGGTGAGTGAGGTGGGTGGGATGGAATAAGGTCTAGGATGGCCCAGAGAAAGAGGAAATTAGAAGTCCAAGTAGAAGGATTAACCCTGAAAATGAAAATTTTTGAGGTTAGCAGGAGAACCTTCTCATCTATGGGGCATCAGCTTTCTCAATAAAGCTCAAGGGTCTGTTACAGGGTTAGAATGGTTTCAGAAAAAAAAAAAAAGAAGAAGAACCATAATGAAAAATGACACAGGGGTGTAATCTATAAAAACCTTTTCAAATTGTGGCTCTTTTTTCTTTTTCTGCCCCCCCTGAACTTGGGAGAACCTCAAAGCTCAGATCTCTCTCCTCTGGAAAACTCACTTCCTCAAATGTGTCCATTCACGTCAGCTTAGATTTACTCACTTATCTACCTTTCACTCGGGCTACGTATGAAGGCTGCAGAGAAGGTGGCTTCTGTCCCAAAGGAGTTTATGGTTTGATGGGGATAAGCTATGCATCCCAAATTCTGTTAGACAAAGTAGAAGACAGCGGTGACCAGAAGAGGCATTTTGAGACTTCAGACACAAAGTGAGGGCTGAAGAAAAGTTAACAGAAAGGTGGAGACGGGCGGGCAACAGTCGTTAGAAGGATTGGGAGGATTTACGTCAGTGAAGAGGGAGGGGGAGACCATCCCAGGAATTGAAAGCAACAAAGGAGTGGAGCCAATTAATCGATAAACAGGAACGGGTGCCCCGGAAAGCTGCATTTCAGGGCACAGCGGACTACAAGATGAGAAAGGGTCAGAGTTACTAGAGTCAGAGCGTGGAGGACAAAACGCACGGTGGAGTCAAGGCCTGACAGAAACCTACGGCCGCGAGGAGGATGCCGGTCTAGAAGCAACGCACGATACGCGGGAAACCTCAAGGACACCGAAGACTGGCCATGCGAGGCTGCCGTAAGCAAAGGCCGGCCCCAGCGAGCGCGCCTCAGCACACCAGCGGCCTGGGCTCCGGCCTGATACAGGGCGTACCTGGATGCTGCCGCTCCCTCCCGTCCGACCGAGGCCTCCAGCCTGCACGACCTCCGAGCGTAGCCGGAAGCGGCACCAGGGACCAGACGAGTAAGGATAGTGGCCCAGGAACAACACTGAACGCTGAGGCGCTATTGGTGCCGAACACCTACCTTTCTCCCTCCCCCTCGCCCCGCTTACCCTCTAGAATTTGGCTCCCGACGAGGGTAGAGCCGGGCGCGTCGGACGCAGAAAAACCCACGCACACGAAGGCGGGAGCCCGCGCCGATCGCAGCTCTGATTGGCTGCCGCCTTTGAACTTCCGACTTTCGCGTCAGGAGCCTTTACTACGCATCCTCAGACTAGTCTTCCTCTCGGAGAGGCCCGTTGATTTCTGGGGGTTGTAGTCATTCTTCTCTAAGACAGGGTCTTTGGCGACCCAAGTTCTGGAACCAGAACTTTTAGGATACTCAGTCACCAGAGAAAAGGCGATCTTTCTCTCCGACTCTGAGGAAACCAGCCAATCCTCAGCCTGTGGCGCAGTGACGTCTCCGGTAGCTAGGCAGGTTCTCTCGGAGTCAGCCCTCTGGAGGGGACTGTGCGCCCCCTACAGATTGGAGCTGCCCTCTTCCCCGCCGCCGGCCCTTAATCCCCGCTCAGGTAGGAATCCGACGAGGCCTGGGCCGCCCAGGACTGCGGCAGGTGTGGCCATGGGCACGGAGTGGGCGCAAGGGTCGCATTTCCGTAATGTTTCTGTCCCATGTGTGACCTCCCCGCTTACAGGCGGCGTGATATAGCCCCAAAGAAGCGCCCGGAAAGGATTGGGGGTATGCCACTTGGGGAAAGCGGGACTGCGTGGGCACCCCAGCAAGGGGCCGGGAGTGGCCGGGACAATCGAGGAAAGATTTCTTTTTTCCTTTTTCCTGTGGCATGAGTGAAAACATAACGCACCGCCACGTTCAGTTAAGCGTCCTTGTCCAACTTGTTTCTGGAAAAAGCAAATCGGTTTTTGGATAGGCAAAAAATTTTTTTGATGGGCAAGGAGGCCTGATTCAGAAGCCTCAGATTTCAGTTAATGGTGGAGTGAACAAAAATAAGCAAAGGTTTCTGACTCTCCAAGAGGGTCGCAGCTGCAGCCTAGGGAAGGAGCTGTCATTTTGTCCTGACTTTGACCTCCTGGAGAGGCAGTTTCTGGATCCAGTCAGCGCCCGACCTGGGCCCAGCCTCACTGCCTGACCCAAGAAGCTCTGCCCTTCATTGGTGAGGCTGACTCCTCAAGCACCCGCCTGGTTCGTCCAGAAGTAAGGGGAGATTAACTTCATGCTGGCCAGAGCCACAGTGTGCCAGGCCCGGCCACA